CTGAAAAGATGCCGATTACAGAAGAAACTCCACAGGTGGGTGCGTTAAAGGTCATATGCATGTATTAGGCTCGAAGCATATGAATGATGTTTGATTCGATGTGGAGAGATTCACCATTTGTTAGTTGGGAGCTTATTACATACCAGCTGAGCATCATTCTCTCAAATTGCAGCAGCCTATTAATCCATATGGAAAAGCAAAGAAAATGGCGGAGGAAATCATCCTAGATTTTCACAAGAACTCAAACATGTCTGTCATGATTTTGAGGTAAATTGTTCTTATAGTCCTTTCCTTTTAGTTTGTGTTTTTCATGCTGGTGTGAATTGATCCTTACCTTTCCCTTCACTTTTTTATTGTTTCTATCTATTTGTATTTCCCCTGCTTGTTCATTATATCTAGTGTACGTTTTTGTTGATTTTTGTAGTCATTTATCTTCTAATCAACAAGGCCAGTCAATCTATTTTACTTTCTTGTTTACTGAAGTCTCGTATGTGAACTAACTGATCGAAATATTTTACCTTCTCAAAAAACTGTTCTCTTTTCAATTGTGATCCACTGGTTTTCATTGTTCCTTACCAAGTAAACTAAAAGCTTGCACTTCTTTGATCAATTTTGGATAACCAACTGCTATTATTGTTTTTGACTTTTAAGTGTGCATTATATTTCCCAAATTAACGCTTACATCAAATTTCTCGAAATTTAGATACTTCAATGTTATTGGTTCTGATCCAAATGGAAGACTAGGAGAAGCTCCGCGACCTGAACTACGGGAACATGGCCGGATATCTGGTGCTTGTTTTGATGCAGCTCGTGGAATCATACCTGGGCTTAAGGTCAGTAACTATTTGCTATCAAAATACTTGTATTTGTTGTATTTGCCAAAAAGTGGTCTGTTTGTCCAGTTCTATTGAGTTATGTATGAAACAGTGACCGTTTTGTTCAAAAAAGTATGTATAAAACAGTTTCAAACTTCCAAATGTCTTCCAATTAGTGGTTGTTAATTTTTTTTCTATGACAATCAAAACATAAGACTGCTCTATGCACAAGACTAAAGACTCTTGCAATAGAAGGGAAAAGTGGATGTGTGTATCATGATCAAATGAATTTTGTTGATAAACCATTGTACGAGTCACAGAGTTCTTCTGTTATGCAGGTAAGAGGAATAGACTATAAGACAGCAGACGGTACCTGCATAAGGGATTATATAGACGTGACCGATCTGGTTGATGCTCATGTTAAAGCTCTTGAGAAGGCAAGGCCAGGGAAAGTTGGGATCTACAATGTTGGAACAGGAAGAGGTAAACAACTTTGTTCTACATAATCAGTTTTTCTTTCTCAAAATGATCTCAACGTCTTATTGTCCCTCGTCTGCAAGTACAGGTAGGTCAGTGAAAGAATTTGTGGAGGCTTGTAAGACTGCAACTGGAGTACCTATCAAAGTTGACTTCCTTCCCCGTAGGCCTGGTGATTATGCAGAAGTTTACAGTGATCCAACTAAGATTAGGAATGAACTGAACTGGACAGCCAAATACACTGATCTTCAAGAGAGTTTGCAGATTGCATGGAGATGGCAGAAGTCACATCTTAATGGTTATGGTTTATCTGTGGCGGTGGCAAGATCCTGATGATGCTCTATCAACTTATTGTTGCGGAAGACTGACTTGAACCTGGTGTCACAGCTTAACTTAACATCGAATTATTAGTATCCATAAAGTACAGTTTTCAGGGGGGGGGGGGGGGGGGGGGATGATGTGTATTGTGACAATAGGCAGCAGTCTATTTACCCATTTGTTATGTGTATTTAGTGAGAGGGATATTTCAAATCAATAATAGTTCCCATTCAGGTATAGCTTCCATCAGTCTTCCTTCCTATTTTTAAGAATTTACTCCCAGAACTGTTCCTGTAGCTTCTCTTCTGGAGAAACTACAGCTTTTTCTTGTACATTCTGTTATTTTATTCTTTGACTTTGAGGCATAGTCGATTGATTGATTATTTATTGTATGTACTTTCATTTGTTGATGCAGAAAATATGTTCTACAAAACAACAGTTACCTCCCCAGCCAGGCTATAAATATGGCTAATATTACTGCATTGAATTTCTGTTTTTTCTTCTTCAGAAAAATCAAATCTGAAGGGTCACATAAAACACACTAAGGGGTCGTTTGGTAGTTGATTTAAGCTGGTATTCATGTATTAATTTTATACCATGTTTGATTTGTAAATATGACAAATTTATTCTTGTATTAATTTTATAAAATATTTGCTTGGTATGTACAAAAGTTATTCATGTATTAATTTTTTATGGTGTTTGATTGCCTTTTTTTTGTAATTCTGCATAACTAATATTTTTACATAACAATACTAAGTATGATTGAACTCTTGAAAACTCAAAAATAAGGCCTAATGCATGAATTCTAACAATTGAGCATGATTCAACCACAAACCCACCTTGATTCTAACTATTTAACATGAATTCATATTTAAAAGCTCAATCTAAAGACGGATAAGCCATAACCTACCTCAATGCAGACCGCTCACGCTCCAAATTCACAATTCCAGAGCTTTGCCCTTCCGAACAGCCTCTGATCACTACCACACTACCAAAATATGATAACAACGTCAATACGGATCTTAATACACTAAAAATGCAACAATTGGAGACAGACCCAAAATCGAGTAAAAAATGAAATTGTGGGATCTACCCCAAAATTGACTCTATCGTCAATGGATCCAAATTAGCTTACTAAACTTGTGCCCCAACAATGGGCACAATTCAAGCTCGAAAAAAGATCATGCAAGGAGATGAAATGAAAACGTCATTAAAGAGAGGACAGTCCTTCAGGACAAGAAATCACATGTGAAACGAGCTTTCCACGCCTTTTTGATGATCCAAATACAACACCACGCAAATTCCCGACACACAACAACAATAATCATCCAATTTGGAGCTCTACAATTCCCCAATCACAATTTGAACTATGAAGTGAGAGCTGAAATCTCAGCTAGTCTCTATCAAAAAGACCAATTAAATGACCTCTGTGAATGTGGAACTCAGTCTGTGGTCACAAAAGGTCTGGCCCCCAAAGCATCGCGAACGCAAAGGGTCAGCCTCTTGGCCTACTCGATCGTGGTGCAAGGCCCGTGAATGCGAAGGGTCAGCCTCTTGGCCTATGCGATCGTGGTACAAGGCCCACAAACGCGATGGGTAACTCATCAAGCCTCTACAAACGCAACACTGGGCCCAAGAACGTGGAGACCAGAACCACTAGTCCCCACGAACGCGGTCTAAGGCACGTGAATGCCAAGGGTAAATGGAGGTTGCACTAGCTGATGCATATCAGCTAGTTCCCCAAATCCCAAAATCTCTGACGGGGTGCTCGGGATTCATTCGGAACCTTATGCACGCAAACGAGATACGCTATCCCACCAAATTCAGATGTTCGAACTTAACGGAGATGTTGAAACTTCCAACTGAGATCGTCTCGACAAAAAGTGGGTCCCACACCCAAACTCTATTTTAAGTCATAAGACACTAGGTTGCTCAAATTGGGCCAAAAAGTCTTGGGAATCGCACCGAATGACCTTATAGACAAAACTCGATGTTGTGAAGCTAACGAAATTGTCAGAATTGCATTATGAGGCTGTCTACTTGAAGTTTTGATCAAAGTCAACCATTCAAGTTTCAAAACGCTTCAAATCATGGAAACTTACACAAAACCTAAATAAACTACCAGGTGATCGAACTATCCATCTCAATAAGTCATAAATGAATAGGGGTCAATATAGTAATCCTTTAAACACCAAAAAGAATGCAATAAATAGAAAATGACCTAGAGGGTCATTACAACATCCACTACTAGAAGGACTTTTGTCCTAACAAATAAATAATCAAGAAGTACTTAAAGGTTTAAACAAAGGGGGAAACTGCTCTCGCATATCATGCTCATTTTGCCAGGTAGCCTCCTCGACTAGATGATATCTCCAATGGATCTTAACAACATGAATGACTCTCGAATGCAATAGTTGCACATCTCTGGCGAAAATAGAATCAGACTCCTCTACAAAGGTCAAATGTCGTCCAAATGAACTAAATCATACTAGAGCATATGAGAGTCGTCAGGAACATACCAGCGAAGCATAAAAATATGGAAAACTGAATGAATACCTAAAAATGTTGGAAGTAGGGCCAACTTATAAGAGACATCACCAATAGTCTGAAGAATCTCAAATGGCCTTATATACCTAGGGATAAGTTCCCCCCCCCCCCAAAATCTTATCACGCCCTTCGCGGGTGATACTTAAAGGAATACCTGATCACCAACTCTAAATCTCAAAGGCCGACACCTACGGTAAACATAACTCTTATGTTTGCACTGAGTTGACCTAAGTGTATCCTGAATCACCTGAACTCTGTATAAGGACTCCTGAAGTAAATCAGTACCATGAGGCCTAGGCTTCAAAGACTCAAATCATTATTTGGGAGGCGATTTGAACCAAAAAATTTAGGAAATTAGTAGAATCATGTATTTTCCTTCATTTGTATGTGTTGGGGAGTAATGGAAACGAGGTGATGGATTCAATTATTAAACTTGATTGATATTAATGAATAAAAATGGGATTAATGAAAAGGCAATGGGTTGATCATAATGCTTTGTGAATTTTCCTTGTTGTGAACCTTAATGTGATGATTGATGAAATGCTTTGATGGCATTATTGTGAAATGGATTTGCTTGAGTTGTAGTCTATTCCTTGTGGTGTGAAATTGCTTACTTGCATTAATATCTGAGCATCGTGATGAGACATGTGATGGTCATTGATGCCAAGGTCATTTCCGTTGTGTTTATTGATGTCGAGGTCATTTTCGATGAGTGTTATTGATGTCGATGTCATTTTTGGTAAGTGTTATTGATCCTAGTCATTTTCGGCGAGTGTTATTGATGACGAGGTCATTTTCGGTGAGTGTTATTGATGCCTATGTCATTTTTGGTGACTGTTATTGATGTCGAAGTCATTTCCAATGAGTGATATGGATGTTGAGGTCGTTATCGGCGAGTTCTTGAACTATGAGCGGTTCCCATGAGTTTTGATTGATATTATGCGTGATAAATCTGTGGATTTGTGTTCAGTGTGCTTGCTTATTGTGCTTTGATAAACTTGATACTTGTGATTGATCTATATGACACTTGTGATTGTCATACTTAATACTTAGTGATTGTTGAATTGTGGCTATTAGACCATGATCATGAGAAATTGTGAACTCTGTGTATTATGAACTATTAGGTTGGGCAGATTTCTATGCAAGTTGTAGCTGATGAGGTTCGGTTGGGATGAATGGGGTACTTGCTTTCTAGCTAGTTTTGCTTTATTTATTAGGTTTCTTGGTGAGTTTCGTGTTATTTGATACTCACTCCTTGCTTCTACACTTGTGTAGGTTCTGAGCCTGGTTCTATGTGATTGCTCTTCGTCTCTTTACCTGAGGCTTGTTGAAGGATTTGAGAGGTAGTTGCTTGTCGTCCCGACAGGCCCTCCTCTTCCTTTATGTTATGCTTTGTTCTATTTGAGAAACAACGACAATGAGACTTGTACTTATCTTTCAATTCCGTACTTTTATGTATTAGTGGCTTGTACGCATGATAATCAGGTTTTGGGGTTATATTAGAATGACTAAGTTTTCCGCTTTTATGTTATTCTTGTTTTATTTTTCACATTGCTTTTGTTTCGTTGGGTTGAGGCTGACTTGTCTTGGTTGGAATAGACAAGTGTCATCACCCATTTTTGGATCGTGATACTAAATCTACAGTAAGATCAAAATTAGTATTTTTATTGCAAAATCTATAATTTTAAATTCCCTCTAATTCAAACTTCTTATTGGTGGATTCTATTATTGAAACTATTATATTTCATATACATTGATAATTCTTGATTGATGGTTCATACTTATCCTACCACATGACCCTTTTTAACTAAACTTTTTTGAAAATCTTGTTATAGTATTTTGTATGCATTATTTTTAAGAGTAAAATATATTTTGATAAAGTTCTTTATACCTATTTTAAAGAAAAGATTATGTTTTAAAGAAATCTAATCATTTGAAAGATTCCTTGTGAAAGTATTTTTTAAGAAAATTTTCTTTTACAGTATCGTGAAATTCAGAACATCAGTGTATTTCAAATTGTTGTGATTATATTCTCACCAGCAATACAACTTTACAAATTGTAAGCAAAGATTCAGTATGATTTCAATTACAGTTTTCATGATATATTATAAACATATATAGATTATTTTAAAATAATTATTTAGCACTGAGAGGACGCAGCTATAAAAAATTCACATCTCATATCCACGTGCTACCGTAGAATTTGAGTGTAGCGCTAGTCGGTCAACTCCTTTAACCCAAGAGGCGTCACAGTGGATCCACATTCTATATATATGTTCTATACTTTGACAAGGTATAAGGTAGCCCTCTTAACTGAGTTAGTTGTTGGTAGGGGTGTACATGATCGGGTTGGGTTGGATTGGGTTTTTCAAATATCAAATCAAATTATTATTATCAAATTTTAAAGTTTATAAATCAAATCACACTAATAAAATTGGGGTTTCTCAGGTTTTGGGGTTATATCAAATTTTTCTGATAAAGTATCCATACAAACATATGATTAACTTGTATTTTAGATATATTTTTAGTTCTATCAAAATAAAATCATCTAAGGTGTTTTTTAAGAAAATAACACAAAATATGAGATAAGTGATGACACAAAAAAATTAACAAAAAATAATAATGAAATCGCATAAAATAAATATCGCAAATAATAGGTAATAAAAAATTATCATAATTTAAAAGTGCTAAATCATGCAAAAATAAATCTAATAAGTAGTAATTAAATGACTAAACATTAAAGAAAAACTAAATTAGGTTATGTATTTTAATTTTCTATATCAATGTAAAATTAAAGAAAAATTATTCAATATTATTGTCATTCTTAGTATTTGATAAAAAAATTTGTTAGCATTAGTATTTATTTGATCTTGATTTGAGCTTTATTAGAGTTACTAATATCTATGGATTATAATCTTTATTGGACCATTCAAAATTTAAAGTCTCCAACATGAAATAATATGTTAAAAGATAAAAACTATGAGAAATATAAGAAATATTTATAAATTATATCAAAGTAAATACTTTGATGTATAAAATAAATTTTAAAAAAGATATATATAATGTCGGGTTAGTTTGGTCTCAGATTGACTTTTTTTTAGTTAAAACCAAACCAACTCAAGTATAGTCGGGTTTTTTTTCCAATACCAAACTAAGTCTAACCAAACCACTAGTCGCGTTTTTTTTTCCTGTTACAATTTGGTTCGGTTTTGTTCACCCCTACCTTGCGCTCTACTTATTGTCTTGTAATTACTATATGTTGTTTCGTGTACTTTTGTTACTTCTTTTTCTGGACTGCTTTGAATGATTTCTCCTTGATATGAGGGTCTATCGGGAACAATTACCTCTCTACCTTTGAACAATTACTATGTAGGATTATACTGAGTATGTTATTATTATTGTAATTCAGTTTGTATATATCATTCGTTTTGCCTTGTTGGTTTTGAACTACATGTTCAATATTCAAGTCAACTTATATATTCTTTCGAAATTAGCCCACTTGCAAATTATTGTTTCAATCACCAAAAAATATGCTTGCCACTAATTATACTAAACTAATCTTTATTTGGACTTGCTATCATCTTAGTGGCTAACCATGAAACCATTACATTAATTAATCTCAAGAAGTTTATTACTTTGCTACTATAAAAACCAAAGATTCCAACTCAACTATGCAACACGAGTCTTAGTTCTATCTTTTTTCTCCAAAAATCAAAATGAGAAGCTTTGGAAATTTGGGTCAATGGCTCTACTTGCATTTGCTTTGGTAATTTACTTTGTAGCCAGCACTGTTGTTGCTGATTACTCTTATGACTACACTTCTCATTCACCATCTCCATACTACAAGAAACCGGAAAAACATGTTGAACATTCTCCATCGTATCACTATTACAAGTCGCACGCTCCTTCAAAACATTACAACAAGGCACCTGCTGTAGCAAAGTATTACGAGTCACATGCTCCTTCAAAGCACTATTACAAGTCGCCTGTGGTAGCAAAGTATTACAAGTCACATGCTCCTTCGAAGCACTACTACAAGTCACCTATTGTAGTGAAGTATTACAAATCACATGCTCCTTCGAAACATCACTACAAGGCACCGGTGGTAGTGAAGTATTACAAGTCACCAGCTCCTTCAAAGAAGTACTACAAATCACCAACTCCTTCAAGGTACTATTACAAGTTACCATCACCTACAAAATACTACAAATCGTCATCGCCAGTAAAGTACTATAAGTCGCCTACTCCATCGACGCATTATTACTACAAGTCACCATCTGTAACGACCCGCTAGGTCGTTTTGAGAACTAGGACTATTTTGACTCTTCCGGAAAAAGATTTAAAGGGGTATTTTAAACTATTCAGTAATTACGAGTATCTAGTTGATGAATTTTTATTTAATGAGTATTATAGTTATTAGTTAGTGGGCCAAATTCATAATTCAATTAATACCCAAGTAATTTGGCCCATGTAAATAGATGAATTAATAAGAATAATTGAGGTTTAATAATTCTTTGTCACCCCCACAACCCACTAAAACTTCTATCTGCACACGACGAGGAGAATCATCGCATAACCTCAACCATCACGAAATCTGCCAGGTAAAAGAAAAATAATTTAAGTTGATATTGTCGTGTGTGTATGTGTTGTCTGGGTAGGAATTTTATTTGGCTTAACGGGTTAGAAATATGTTGTAAGTTATTGCTGCCAACAAATCAGTGCTAGCAAGATTTCAGCAGGAATTTGTCATTAATGGATATAGAATTGTGTTGATAAGATTTCGGCTGGAACATAAATAATAAATAAAGTTAAGGAAAGCAAATTTTGGAATCTTGACACTATACCGTAGGATGGTTTCTTTGGTAGGAAAATTAATTGTTAATTAGGAGAGGGTAATCATTACGGTAATGATTGACTCATGATTTTAAGTGGTAATTCATTTAATAAGGAACTGAAGTATAGTAATTATGAAGGCTTGGAAGTTGGAGCTTTTGTTAAATTTTTTGTTAGTTTCTGTTACTACTCTTGTCACTATTAATTATTAAGCATAATGGATATATATGAACAATATTAATAGTGGAATTAAGATATAACTTTAGGCTTAAAATTTAGGAATACGAGACTTGACATATTAGATGGCACCAAAAATTTAGGAATTTCATTATATATCATGGGTGTTAGTTTGGTGTCATTAGGTTGGGTGAGATTTATATATCATTTTGAGTTAATGATAGGTGAGTGGATGTAAGGTGCTGCGTAGTGGATAGTACAAATGTTGTTTGTTGCTTTGGTTCAGGATCACTGTATCACTTAGTTAAAATTCGTAGCATATTTTGTGTCTTGAAATATTCTGGTGGTGTTCACAATTGTTTACCAATAGTACTGGTTAATTGGTCCAAGAGTGACCATCATGGTTAAGTCGATAATATATTTAAAAAGTGCGAAATTTTAAGGGGAATAAGATGGTAACATTCGTGAAGTTTGAATAAGTTTTGGGGTTCGGGATAGAGGTATAGCTCGATGGATGTCTATAGATTCGTTTACTTATGAATAATGCATATGTGATAGATTGTGAACGTGTTGAAGCTTTGCGAAAGGAAAGGGCAAAATCTTGAGGATTCATGACACGTGTTCAGCATTCGAGGTATGTTAAGACTTTTTAGACTTCGTTGAAGGACGTTTTTCCTAATTAAAGGTTAAAAATGGAATAGACAATTGGTAAGGGTGAAAGATGGGGTCTTGTACCAATGGTGTGACGGGCATTGGTACGAGTACCTGTGTTATTAAAGGGAAAGTTTATTACTATAACATGATAGATTGTAATTCCAGAATGCCAAAACATATGGGCATTAGCTGATGTACTTAGTGACTTGATTTCTTTTGTATGGTTGTGTTTCCTTATTGAACCCGTATAATTGTGATAATTGAGGTGATTATATGTCATAGCGACATTTGATTTATTGAGATGTTGCATCATCCCCTTTTATTGATATCATATTGTGCACATGCATTGACATGAGATTGAGTATGATTAAAGGTCTAACACGTGGAGATCGTCCGTGTTGAGATCAAGTTAAAATTATAATTTGGGCACGTGGAGATTATCCGTGCGAGTGAGTGGTTATGATTATAAGTTGGGCACGTGGAGATCGTCTGTGTCGGTATATGGACTTCGCGAGTCCCCAATGGGTCATGAACTCTCGATGTATTTCCGAGGAGTATCATGTATATACAGTTGAGAGAGTACTTGGCATCTGAGGCATATCATTCATGGTGTCGCATTGCATTGCATCTCATTACATCCCTCATTCTCGTTGATTATGTGTGTTATTGGTGGTTAAACATTTCGTGACATTTAATTATCTCTATTGATGAAAACTTGGTTGATAAGTATAATGTGGACTTGTAAAAATTAAAGGATTATTTTCTTATATACTCTTGTCACTACTTATTTGTTGTCGGTCTATGAGATATACTGGGTACACGTGGTTTCGTACTCATACTACACTTGCTGCACTCTTTTGTGGTGCAGATTGTATTTCGAATTCGAGCATATTTCTTGGAGCTTGAGTCTGAGTTGGTCTATCTTGGAGTTGTGGTGAGCTGCTTGAACGTTCTGCGGCCCATACCTTCATATATCTCTAGTTATTAGGTTGTTTTGGTATTCTGATAGGATATTTCTTATGTTTAGACTTGTTATATAATTAGAGACTTGTATTGACTTTTAGAAGCTCTTGTACTTATGACACTAAATCTTGGGATGGTAATTTAGATTTCCGCATTTCATATTTCTAAATGACTTAGTGATTGAATATGATGTTTTCACTTATCTTTCTACTTTAAATATTGAATTGAATTGGTAAAGTATTGGGTTGGCTTACCTATCGGTTGGGAACATAGGTGCCATCATGACTTGTTATTTTGGGTCGTGACACCATCCCCATCAAAATATTACAAATCACCTATTCTTTCTAAATACTATAAATCACCACCACCACCAAAATATTACAAGTCACCAGTTTACTACAAGTCTCCTCGACCACCACCAACTTATTATGAGAAATCACCTTCTTACTACAAGTCTCCTCCTCCTCCACTATACTACAAAGAATCCACCCCTTCCTACAAGTCCCCTCCACCATACTACAAAGAGTCTACACCTTCCTATAAATCCCCTCCCCCTCCACCATACTATAAAGAATCTACACCTACCTATAAATCCCCTCCTCCTCCGCCATACTATGAAGAATCTACGCCTTCCTATAAATCTCCTCCACCTCCACTAAAGTACTATGAGCAATCGCCTACAACCTATAACTCACCACCTCAAAAGTACGAGCAATCTGTCACCTATGCTTCACCTCCACCCCCACCAGCATCTCCCCCACCGGTATACTACTAAACATTCAATAACTCTAAATTTCCATGATTTTTACCTCCTACTTTGGTCCTATTTCCTCTTCCAAAATTTTAATGTATGTTTGTCGAAATGATGGGCTTTGCTTAATGTGTGTTCGATATTGTTTTGTTCTAATTATTTGTATTATGTATTACTTGAGAATTAAGTAAGTCTTCCTCATTGTACCTAGATTAATAGTTTGTTACCAATCCTCTCTTTTTTTGTGTAATATTGTATCCAAATTGTTAATTTAAATGAGGTGGTATTGTCTCTTAGAGAATTTCCCTGCAATAGTTTGTAGCCTATCTACTTAAAATTTTTGGGAAGATCTACTAAATTTTTATGAATTTACAAATAGTATAAAATAAAAACAATTAATTAATAAATGATAAAGTTTAAATTAATTAAGACTGTAATATACATTTTAGGGTGAGTTAATCAAACATCTAATTAATTAAAGGGAAACAAAACAAATATATCCTTGAACTATCGAATATGGTATACGTATACCCATCGTTATACTATTGAGACACCAGAGTCTTTACCGTCCAAAAAATGGAGACCTTGTATCCTTCACAATAACAGACGAACACATGTCCTAATCATGTGCATCCACTTGATATTTTACTTAAATTTAACCCAAAATTAAAGACCCACCCAAATTAATAAAAAACTTGCTCAAATATTATAACTCACCCACTCACTAACACTGTCACAACCCAAGGTAGCCCTTAGGGGTAACATGACGTACAAGACCCTGAGAGTCCTCATACAAGCCACTTAGCATGCATCATACAAGATAATAGAATATGAAAAATTTAAAAGACATTTTCAACATATAAAAGTTTTATAGAGAAAAGCGGAAATCTAAACATAGTCTCAAAGACATCACGTTCCAAAACTGAAAGTAAACACAAAAAAGGAAATCAGAGCTCGGTCATCGGACTATGAGGACTCACCAATCTTCAATCTTCTATATGAGATCCCTAGCCACGGAAGTGCGAATCTGTAAGGTCGGTCCCTACATTTGGGGAAATGTAGGCAAGAGTATGTGTTAGCACAAAAATGCACCAAGTATGATAGCCATGCATAAAAGTATGAAATCATTCTAAAAAGTACATGTTCGTGATATGCAAAGACAAAGTCAAAACATAAGATAAGAGGGTTAGAAAACATAAAACATAATCATGATCAATGCAAGTAAAATCATCTTTGAACACATGTGAGATACTTTAAAGGCAACCTTAGTTCATTATTATTGTAGGAAGTAGCCTTAACCGACATAGAAACCATGTGAGCTATAACATGGACCCAATGTCTCCTACACCGAAAAATGTTGTCCTACTTGTGAAGGTAGAACCATGAATCTGAGCTAAAGTGGATCCACTAGCTAATATATATCTATCTAGACAATCATCCTATGGGGGCACATAGGTACGGGGTAAGGAGATTGCTATTAGAAACTCGGCCTTAACATGGTGGAACTTCCATCTCAATATCCTCTAGGTGCTAAGCATAAATCCCACAGAGTAGTTATTAATCCTAACTTGTCTTATCTTCAAAAGACATGGGTAGTTGCCACTTGTCTTATCATAGGATAACTCCTTAGACCATGCGTGAGAAAAACTTTCAGCATCCATGATCTTTTTCATAATAGCTTTTAAGGTCCCACAGTCATTCACTTCATGCTAGAGATGCCCCAAATACTATGGAAATAGTTTTGAAATCGTGGCCTATAATCATTGATGGCATATCAAGATACCATACTAATCAAGACCTAATTTAGGAAAATAACCTGAAAAACATTGAGGGCAAATCTAGATGTCATTCATGTCATGTGACCAAGCTTCATAGAACATATAGACAATCTCATCCATAAGCTTTCTTGAGTCATA